TCCCACTAACTCTTCTGGTGGGAGCTGCTGGGAGCTGGCAGCTCTTGTTTGAATCAGCCGGTCTGGGCCTGTTGCTACCCAGATTCCATTCATGCCCACATTTCGTAGTCTGGACCCTGCCCAGTTGAGCTGAATCTTCTGTACCTACTTTCTCTCAGTCACCTGAAGTCAGGGGCTCAGGTCTCATTATTTCCTAACAGGGAAGGTAGGAAATGCATTCAGGTCCTTTAAGGGCATTTATTAAACACCAAGGAAGCAGCAGTCAAGAAATCAAATGACATATTGCATTAGGCAAATCTGCTGCACAGGACCTTTTTAAAGTGTGGTAGAGCAAAGATGTCAGCTTGAGGACTAAGGTGCGCCTGATACAAGCCATGGTATTTTCAATAACTTCATATGCATGTGAAAGCTGGACAGTGAATAAGGAACACAGTAGAAGAATTGATGCCTTTGAGTTGTGGTGCTGGAGGAGAATATTGAAAGTGCCATGGACTGCCAAATGAACCAATAGATCCGTTTTGGAAGAAGTGCAGCCAGAGTGCTCCTTGGAGGCCAAGATGGCCAAACTTCGGCTCTCATACTTCGGACACATTGTCAGGAGGGACCAGTCGTTGGAGAAGGATATCATGTTTGGTAAGGTGGAAGGTCAGAGAAAAAGAGGAAGACCCCCAACGAGATGAATTGGCCAAGTGGCAGCATCAGTGGACTCAAGCGTGGCAACAGTAGTGAGGTTAGCCCAGGATTGGGCAGTGTTTTGTTCTGCTGTGCAGAAGGTCGCTTTGAGTCGGTACTGACTCCATGGCACCTAACAACAACAACCCTGGTATGGAGAAGCTCTAGTAGCGTAGTGGTTATGAATCAGGCTGCTAATCTCAAGGTCAACAGTTCGAAACTACCAGCAGTTCCACAAGAGAAAGATGAGGCTTCTGCTTCCATAAAGATTTAGTCTCGGAAACCCTATGCAGGGTTGCTATGGGTTGGAATCGACTTTAAGGTACTTAACAACAACAACCTTTGTGTGGCGCTGTGGGCTAATGCGTCAGGCTGCAAAGTCATTTGAACTGCAAGGTTGGTGGTTCAAGCTCACCAGCTCCTCCTTGGAAACCCTAGACAGGGTCGCTATGGGTTGGAATTGACTCAACGGCACTTAACAACTCTGTGGGTAAAAGATGAGACAGTCTGCTCCCGGAAAGACTTACAGCCTCAGGAACCCTAGGGATCAGTTCTACTTTGCTATATAGGGTCACTAGGAAATGAGTCGATTTGATAGCTGTAGGGTAGGTGAGTATACCCCTGGCCTGGGCACTGCAGAGTTACTGTCCAATGTGAACAGCTAGTATCAGGGTACAAGGTTTGAGCAGGAGTAAGTAATTTCACCCCATTATTTCAGAGTACTTAAAGCTTCTTTGACCACTGAGAAATCTGTCACCCCTCTGGAATGGTTGGGGTGATCAAGTTTGGTCTAGATTCTAGTACAGTGTCTATTTCAGGAATGCTGGTTGGATGGAATCAAAGTTGATGCCTTTTGCTCACTGGTTTTGATGTAGCCCAGACTTCATTAATGCCAGGTAGTTGTGTGTGTGTTGCGGGGATGGGGTAGGGGTGGGACATGGCATAAACCCACTCCTAAAGTGTAGACAAGCAAAGAAAGAGACCCTTACTATCGTTGTGGTCTCCCAGCTGGAAACCCAGATAGTAGGCCTGTGCCTGACATTTGTAGGCCTGGGCTAAGGGTTAAATGAAGGCTCACTTATCATATCCTTAAATTTAGAAAAATATAAATCAAGCTGTTAATATTCTGGCTTCCCACCTTGATGCATATACATGCCTCCAAAAAGACTCAGAAGGCTAGGTAGGTTTCAATTTAGACTTCTACGTCACCTTGGAGTTTTATGTTAGAATATGCCTCCAGCCTGCCTTCTCTTCCCACACCCAGCCCCATCTCACACTGCAAAGCATCTCATGTATATAGATAGCACTCCAGTCTGCATATCCAAGCTCTATCCACCCTGCTCTATGATCAACGGTTGCCCTTGGGTCACACATTGGGCCTAGGAGTATGCAGGCCAACAGCACGGTCTGCCTTTGAGAGGATGGAGATACCCGAGAGTGGGGATTTGGGGAACCTGGAAACCAGAAGGAAGATCTGCAAGTAGAAAGGACACGTCTCTTGGTCCTACAGACCTGTGTCCCTAGAGAAGAGCAGGGCATTTTGAAGCAGAAGTCCAAGGTACTCTTCTTGCTCTCTTGCTATGGGATTTTCCAGGCTGAAAGTTCTCCCCCATATAGCAAAGGCAGCTAGCTAGCTCCCTGTCACTTCTCTGGTTTCCTTGTATCCCCACCCTGCAAAGGAAACGAGAAATTGGCAGACCAGCACAAAAGAAAAAATACTGTTTATTCCACACAACTACATCAAGTGCTTCTCCCCCACTCAACCCTCCCAGACCTTTCCTCCAGCGCTCACTAGGCTCTACCCTATGTTGTAGGGTGGAGTTGAGACATCAGTGGTAGAGCTTGGCCTAGGAGTCAGGAGGGAACTCCGAGCATAAGAAAGTGGCTGGATTTCTGAGAACACAAATGTCAGGTTCTTTCATTGCAAACTCAAGACCACTTGGCCAATTTCTTTCCCTGGACCCTGGACTAAATATCATGGTTAGTGCAGGGCCAATGGGCCCAGCTAATTTACCAGCCACAGAAAGATTTGGTCTTCTTTTCATTTGAAACAATAACAAACAAAAGTACACACAAATGGTTAAATTTTTTCTGCCTTTCAATGGCAAAGGAGCCACTGGCTGAAGTCCAAAAAAGTGCTTTCACAACAAAATTTATTCCAACTCCCTTCAGAGACTGATATCACAATAGGAAAATCTGCTTCATAGTGGCTTTTCAGTGGGGAGCAGGGCATGAACCATAGCTGCTGCTTGGGGCATACTTCAAACACACATCTCCTCCTGCACCCTCATGGCTGGAAGAATTCAGCCTGAAGACCTTCTGCCCCTGACATTGTTCCTCTGAGAGACTGACCCAATTTTCCAGCGGAGAAGATGGTTTCCCTCTAACCCTGCCGTGGTAAGACAGATTTAGACAAGAGAGGGACTGAGAAAGTAGCCTCAGCTCATGATCTGTTTCTTGCCATAACACAGGTCAGACAGTGTCCTCCTGTATGACCAATGACATGGACATACCCTGGAAGGCATGCTACTCCCAGGGCACCAGTTGTGACCCATGGGTCTCTCCCCAAAAAAGAATACATATTTGAATACCAATGTTTGAGGGTGAAAACTGGAATCTCTCCAATTAACTAAAGTGTAAGTCTGACTCCTTTCCAAACATCGGCACCTGAACTGTTCTTACTGAAAAGCTGTTCCAATACCCTTCCCGAGTGAGTTCCCAGCGTCACCTCTTGCAGGCAGGTGGAGAACCCTGACAGGAGTGTGGGCCAGGCAAGACGCCCACCTGCTTTCTCCTCCCTCCCCACAGCTCCAGCAAGCTTGGTTTGCCTGAATGCAGTGCAGAGCCAGAGAGGGCCCAGGGGTCGGTAGGAAAGGAAACAGCATGTACAGGACACTGGGCTAGGGGGTAGCTCTGCACCTGTGACCATGGAGGTGTTGTGCCCTTGTCCCGGTGGCCACTCCCTCAGGATATATCATACGAGGTGCAATATAGGGAAGTGATGACCCTGTGACTTTTGGTCCTTAAGGACAGTCTATATAGCAGTCTACATACAAGCTAAGTTTAGCTCTCTCCTGACCAGCTGGAGTCACATACTGACTTCAAGGGACTGCCCAGTCCCAGCCAGGGAAACTCGCTTAGTGGTTTGAATGAGACGCCAACCCTCAACATTCCACAGCTATCCTCTCCAGAGGCAAAATCATCCCGGGTGCAGGAATATTCTAGATTTAGAAGAGTACTGAGGGGATTTCTTACACACAGACATGGTCTAAGACTCTGAACAAAATACCATTTTTAAGGGAAGAAAGAAAATTTAAGAGTTGAATCATCTTCCACAAGAGACCTTCCTGGGTTGCCATCAGCTCGTTCTGAATACTGTCCTTCCCGCCAGGCCTTGCTGTCTGGTTTATGGTTTAATTTGCTCCTTTTGAACAGGACCCAGTCCTGGGCTGGGGCTAGGGCAACAGAGTCAGCATCCCTTTCCTCATTTTTCTCCAGATCTTCCTGTTTGCTTAGGCAGTGGGGTTTTCCAGGCTCTTACCTGCACCCTTAGGGGAAGGTGGCCAGGGACAGGAGTCGATTAAAATCTGGGAGGATGGCCTATCTACTAACTTCCCAAACTTCAGCAGACCAAGGTCAACCCCAAGACAACTAGCGTTCACTATTGCCTCCTTCCAACATGGATAGAAAAAAAAAAAAAAAAAGTTCTGTTTTAGTGCAATTTGCTCCCAACTCCCAAAGGAGCCAGGGAGAGGCTGAATGTTCCAGCTCCAGGACTGTGGAAACCTTGACATGAGGTCAAGGCAGATCCTGAATCTGACCTTCAGCACATGACACTTTTCTGAAGTTTGTCTTTTGGGTGCTTTGGGGGTTGGGGGTCAGTGTGCCCTCAAGCAAAGGAGGGGAGGGTATGAGGCTGTGGTTCCACTGAATGCACTGCCTATACCTGACACGGAGCGGAGGAAAAGAGGGGTTGGAAAAAGAACACAATAGAAAACAAGGGCTGGTGGCCAGTGGGCCTTAGGAGCTGCTACTGCCTTGCCCCAAAGATGGGAGTTTTTGGTTACCACCCAGAATTCACCCTTCAGAAACCATGCCAACAAAGTGCTTCTGCAGTGACACCATCAATCCCCTCCCGGTGTGACCAGTCCAGAGTCTGGACCTCTCAGGAGGGTCCTCTACCCTCCCCGTGGTATGGGAAATGTGAGGGAGAGGAGGAGGCATCCGACACACATGCACACAGTGGAGTCTCATGACCCAGCACAAGCACAACTGCATGTGGCAAAATGACAGGTGTTGTCCCGGCGAGTCGCCGAGAAAATATACAAAGTGCTGGAACCCAGGGCAGGGGCTAAACCCTATGGGATCTGAAAGACATTTAGCTTGCTGGTGTTCTTGAGCGTCTGGCGCCGATTGCAGAACCAGACCCGCACGACCTCCCGGTCATAGTTGAGCTCCTTAGCAATCTCGGTGATCTCTTGACCTGTGGGCAGTGGGTTCTTCTCAAAGTAGGCGTTAAGAGCTTCTATGGCCTGGGGAGTGAAGGAGGTGCGGCGTTTGCGTTTCTTGGAGGGCTCGCCTCCCACAAACTCCATCAGGTTCTGCTGGCCTTCCTGGTTCCGGAGTTCAGCTTCATTCAGCCACTTCTCCAGCACTGGCTTTAGCTTCTGAGCACTCTTGGGTGTGATGTCTAACTTCTCAAACCTGTAGGCAACCCAAGCCCAAGAAGATACAGAAAGAGTGTCTCAGTTCCCTCAGAAAACCTCCTACCTAGCTGCAAGGACTGTCTTCCAGAGGCTGCTCCTCTCATGGCTGGTGAGGGTGACCTCATCTGTTGTCCCCTTCACCTGGAGAAGCCCCCTCCCCCATCCCAGTTAGACTAAGCTCCTGCCCTGTTCATCACAGGGAGATGGCCATCAGTAGTGTGACAATAAAAAGCACCTGCTTTTTAAACAATCCATCAAACTGAGAACTTGTACACCCAGATGAGTGAAGTCCATCAAGAAGTTGTCCTGAGAAACCTTCCAGAGACAGTAAATGGATGTCCTGAGTGCTGCCTTCCTTCAGGGCACTGTCACAGCAGTGACAGTCTCAGATGACACTACACAACTCCCAATATGATTCCTGAATGGATTCCCCAAAGAAGAACATAGAAATGCTCAGAATTAGCTTCAGTGAGTTCCTAGAAAGACTAGGTTGCTCTTTGGCCACCCCTGGTAGTCATGTCTATCCATGGGGCCGTCTTTCTTATCTAGAAGAAGGCAGGAGTAAGGGAAACTATAAAAAGGGGCTGGATGCCTGGGTCCCCAGTGGCAGTAGGCTTGAGCAGGCCAAGGCCTGGTCCTTGGCTGCCTTACTCACCGACAGATGGCTGACTGGCTGTAGGCTGGGCCTTCCGTTGCAGTCAGAGCCTGACCCACCTGGGTCTGTGTGAGGCCCAGGGAAAGCCGCCGGATCTTAAAGTTCTTGGCAAACTCCCGGATCTCTTCTAAGTTGATTCCATCCTCATCCAGACTTGGGGTATGTGGCTCTAGGCCAGAGGAAGGGACCAGGGATGAGTGTACAAGATGGGAATCATCACTGCATATCTGGCCCCTAGGCTTGGTCTGGTGCAGTAGTGAGGGATGAGGGCTTTGGCAACAAGCTCTGCACCCTTCACACTCTCATCACTCCTGCCCAGGTCAAACAGCACCTGGGAAAAGGGCACCAGAATAACCTGCCAAGAGCAAAGTATCTATTTGCAACTTCTTCCAGTTCTAAGTGCTTAGCCTCTTCCAACCAGGCCCTAAGCACACTCGTTGACTACGTTCCTCAAACATGAGGCGAGAGCAAAGCAAAGGCAGTTGCGGCATGGCTTCCTAGAGAAGCAGTCTGACAGCCAGCCAAGCCTCCATCACCATCCTGCCCCAAACGCAGCTCAACAGGAATGGGAAAGGAGAAGTCCAACTCCCGGCATTGGCCTCTGCCCTTCCCCTTTGGACTCTGAGAAGTTTCTTAAGGAAAGCAACTTCTAAGAAGTCAGAGTGCCCCAAAATTACCTCCCCCTCCTCAACATTCCTCCTCCAGGACCCACTTACTGGACACCAGCTGACTGACAGTAGGGGTCTCTGAGCAGGTTATTGGGATGGGAGCAGAGGCAGATGGCTTGGCCGCTGGGGCTGGACTGGCAATGACCACAGTGGGCTGGGGTACCGCTGGCGTGGGCTGGATGGGCTGCACCTATAAGAAGAGAGCCAACAAGCCTCTGCAGTCCACCTGTCCAGCTCAGGGGGTTGGATTCCCTGGGTGGACAAGAGGCAGGACATGAACTTCTCACCAATTCAGCATACTTCTTTCTACCTGTGTTCATCAAATAGTAAGACTAGGAACTGCTTATCAACACCCACCCATCAAGGCCTTCTGAGTAAACACAGCAATATACCCAACCAAGCTTGAGCCTAGCAGGTGGCCAGATGGGAGACTCAGAAAGGTTCCACACACTTGACCAAAGTCCAGACAATTGTCCATAGCTGTGATTACTGTTGTTAAATCTCTGCCCTCAGAGAAGAAACCAGAACCTGATTCTACAGTTTCCCAGGCACCAAATGTCCTTATGAGGGAATGGTTAAATGACTTCTGGGGGCCTCCTAGAATGAGATACTATGCAGCTATTCAAAACAATAAGGTAGATCTTCTAACTACTGGCATGGAAAAGCTCTGTATTATGTGAGAAAAAAAAAGGAATGTTAATAATATTTTTTACAGAAAAAATCCTTTAAAATATATGTATGAATTTGTAGGAAAAAAATGAAGAATTTTGTTGATAGACGTAATCTCAGGAGGTGGAATTAGAGGGGGTTTTTTACTTTTTACATTACATGCAATGTTGAAATTTTAAGAACAAAATCATATATTATTTTTGTAATCAGGAGAAAGTATAAATACAGCCCTCCCCTCCCCAATCTGAAAGTAGGGAGTCCTGGTGTGGCACTGTAGGATAAGCACAGGATGCCAAGGTCGGCTTGAACTGCAAGGTCAGCAGTTCAAACCACCAGCTGCTCCTCGGAAACCCTACACAGGGTTGCTAGGAGTCGGGACTGAGTCAACAACACTTAAAACAAGATCCGAAAGTAATGCGTTCCTAATGAAACCTTTTCATAAGTTAAAATGTCATGTGGACATTGGCTACCCAAAATGGGAGGGCTACAAAGGCAAGAAGTGACTGGCTTACAAGCTTTCAAGAGGGAGTCTAGATCCAGAGAGCACGGAGGAGGAGAGAATCTCCACAGAGCAGTATCCAATCTGTCTGGGCAGGGCTGATGAAAGGAGATGGGGATAGCACTCATGTGGTACAATAGTGAATAATTACTATCAGGACTGACTATGGGGGTTGGAAATGTAAAGGTAGATGTTTTATAACAAAAGGAGTGGAGTGATTGACTTTGTAGTCCAGGAACGGAGGTCCCTAGGTCCATCAAGGGAGAAGAACGGAGTGCGGGACCCTACTCAGAGAAGCAGTGATGCCAGAGATGGAGGCAGAGATGATGACATGGAGAGATGGAGCAGCTGGGGACTTTAGACACAGAGAGGGAGAGGGGCTGTGTGCTGATGACTGAGGGGCAGGCTTGCAGGATATACCCTTTGGTTGGCTGATGATGCATGGAGGGGACTGTAACCATGGCAATAAAACAATGTAGGACAGGATGAATCTAAAGCTAATGTTCTCCCATGTAAACTATCACATAATTCACTATAAAATATTATAAAAAAAAAAAAAAGGCATAAAGCAAAGAAGCAATTACCAAAAACAAAACCCACTACTGTTGAGACAATTCCGACGCCTAGTGACCTTATATAGGACAGATGAGAACTGTCAGTCTTTATGGGTGCAGACAGCCTTATCTTCCTCCTGTGAATCAGCACAATGCTTACCTCACTGCGCCACCAACGCTCCTTACCCTTCATTTACATGGGAAATTTTTGTCAACATTCTAAGACGCAGAAAATAACCTACCAAATTATACTAAATGTTGTTGTTGTTGTTAAGTGCCGTTGAGTCGGTTCCGACCCATAGCGACCCTGTACAGGGTTTCCGAGGGTATAAATCTTTACGGGAGTAGAAAGCCTCATCTTTCTCCCGCGGTGTGGCTGGTAGTTTCGAACCGCTGACCTTGAGGTTCGCAGCCCGATTTGTAACCACTACGCTACCAGAGCTCCTTCCTACTAAATAGTGCATGAAATTTAAAATAACACTAAACATCTGGTGTTCACAGACAACAGTTCAAAGCTACGGCCAATTGATGCTGAGGCGCTGAGTGTACCTCCCCGAGGAAAGGGCCACCCTGGCTGTTCAGGGTACATGCATGCTGCCTCTTTTAATGGCTCGTGGCAAAACAAACAAACGCTCAACACCAATTTTGCTTTTTGCTTTTTTTTGTAACAGCAAAATCCTCTTTGTATTTCTTTCTGTTAGTGAAAACAGGTACTAATATGGATCATTTGTAAGAGTGAAGTAATGTAAGGTGAACATTTGAAAAGCAGAGATACCACTTAGTATTTTTTGTGTGTGTGCTTTTAAAGTTTCTTAGGAAGTGCATGTTTCTCCAGAATGGGTTCTAGTCTGCGGATTCTACCTCCTGGTAGCTCTCAAGTCCCCCTCCTCTTTGCCTTATTCAGAGCTCCTTGTCTCTTGTGGCAAGCTGTTAAAATTGCCTAACCAGAGAAAGATGAGGTTTTCTGTTCCCGTGAAGATTCAAAGTCTTGGAAACTCTATACAGGGTCACTATGAGTCGGAACTGACTCAAAAGCACTTACCAACAATAACCAATGATGGTGAGAACATTAGTGATTCAATGGTAGAACTCTTGCCTTCCATGTGGGAAACCCAGGTTTGACTCCCGGCCAATGTACCTCATGCATAGCTTCCCTCTATTAGTGGTGGTTTGTGTGTTGCTATGCCTCTGGTAGCGTAGAGGTTAGGAATCAGGCTGTGAGCCGCAAGGTCAGCAGTTTGAAACTACGAGCTGCTCCGCGGGAGAAAGATAAGGCAGTCTGCTCCTGTAAAGATTTACAGCCTCGGAAACCCTGTGTAGGGTCACTATGAGTTGGAACCGACTCCACGGCACATAACAACAACAACAACATGATGCTGAAAAGGTTTCGGTGATGCTCTCAAACTAAGACAGACTAGGTAGAATGAATGGCCTGCTGATCTACTTTTGAAAATCAAGATCCTTCTTCCCAAAGCAACTTATTCATGCCCCTAGCATAGTCTTTGTAGTCCTTGGACAGAGCAAACAGTTAATATGCTCAGTTGCTAAATGAAAGGTTGAAGGTTCAACTTTATCCAGAGATGCCTCAGAAAAAAATTCTGGTGATCTACTTCCATAAAATAACTCGTCATGGAGCACAGTTTTACTCTGACACACATAGGTTACCATGAGTTGGAGTGGACTAGGAGCTCTGGTAGCGTAGTGGTTACGAATCGGGCTGCGAACCTTAAGGTCAGCGGTTCGAAACTACCAGCCGCTCCACGGGAGAAAGATGAGGCTTTCTACTCCCGTAAAGATTTACACCCTCGGAAACCCTGTACAGGGTCGCTATGGGTTGGAACCGACTCGACGGCACTTAACAACAACAGACTGCAACCTGAATCACAGTCTTTTTCACAATGACTAGCTATTGTCTCCAACACTGGGCTTCCTAAGGCTAGGAAGAGTGCCTTTTCCAGCTTGAATATAGTTGCTATTGTTGCTGTTAAGTGCTGTTGAGGAGTCAGTTCCAATCATAGCAACTCTATACAGGGTTTCTGAGGAGTCATTGGTGAGTTTGAACTGCCAACCTTGCAGTTAGCAGTCTAGTGCTTATCCTACAGTGCCACATCAGGAATATATTGTTGGTGTTGCTTAGTGCCATCGAGTCAATTATGACTCATAGTGAGCCTGTATAGGGTTTCCGAGAAACAACTGGTGGATTTGAACTGCCAACGTTATAGTTCGAAGTCCAATGCTTATCCTGCAGTGCCACACCAGGAGTCCAGAAATATATAGGCACACCAAAAAATGCTCCTAGAATGAACAAATACATGAATAAGCAAAGCCATAGTGCATGATGATGAGTAAAGAGGGAGGGTGCAGAATGAACTTCAAGTCTCTCTTCCTTCAGTTTGTTCACCTAGAGCTAACCCAGGCTGTCAACTTTTGACGAGTACCACCCTGGCCTCCTCAGAATGGCACTTATCTCTGAGGGTGCCTATACATGTTTTTGTCGTATTTTGTTGGGGGCGGGATACTATTTCCCTGGGATCTCCCCTCACTGTTGGGAAGTGCCCTGCTCTCCCAGAGACCTCAGAAATGTCCTCCTTCCAGGCAGTCTGGAGGGAAGCTGCTCATGCCAGACAGCACTGCTCTCTCCCATCCCAGCCCTTGTACCTCACTCTTAGCAGGGGACTCAGGTGTGCTTGGCTTCCGGACAGTTGCAGGAGGTGGAGGCAGGGAGCTGCTGGCCAGGGTTGCAATCACCTGGCCCTGGGCGTTCAACAGCAGCTGGGGGGTCACGGCCTGGACCTGTGGGCTTTGGGCTGGTGTTGGGGCTGCCACACTAGCCGAGTTCACTACCCATGGAAGTGTTCCAATCACCTGGGAGAAAATAAGATCGGGAGCTCAGGAGTGCAGGCAGAGTTCCGCTCCACCCTCACCCCAGATCCCCACACTGGCACTGGGAGAGACCAGCTTGGACAGATCACTTAAGTCTTTGGAGCCTGACTTTCCACATTAATAAAGTGAAGGATTTATACTCTGGGGGCTTCTTCCTTTAGTCTATCTCCAGAGCTACAGCGGAGCAGAAATAGGTCTGGATGTGGAGTCACACAGACCTGGGGACAAATTCTTGCTCTGCTACCTTTTAGCTGTGTAGCTTTAATTTTGCTGAAGCTCAGCCTTCTCTGTAAAATGGGAATAACCATCTCCATCTAAAAGATCTGTACAGTCAAAACGAAGTGAGACATGGGACAACCAGAAACACAATCGATGAGAAAGCTGACTTGTTGTGAGAAACATGACTCAAGCCACTAGACAGCTCTCCTAGAAACTGTCAAATGGAAAACAATTTGCTGTGTAAATTTTGACCAAAAACACACTAAAAAAAATTTGTAAGTTATAAAACAAAATGAGACAATGTATGAGAAAGCACCTCATACAGAGTCTGGCTGCAAAGTGGGTGTTCCCTGAATAAGCCTCCTCAGTTTGTTCACCTAGAACTGATCCAGGCTGTTGACTTTGACCACCACCTGGAGGACAGAGTGGTGGCTGTGTCCCCATGTCCCTGACTGGCCTCAGTCACACAGGAGATGTGAACAGCATCTTGACTGCAGTTTTTCTGATGCTCAGCCAAAGTCCTCTCTTGGCCAGCTTCTCCACAGTCCCCATCCCTCAGCCCTGTCACTTGCCTGTCCCTGAGCATTGGTGAGGATCTGGCTGCTGATCCCCGGCATGCTGGGAATGGCGTTGGCAATGACGGGAGTGGTAGTGAGTGAGCCCAGGATCTGGGTCTGTCCCCCAAGGGAGGCAGCGCTGATCTGTGGGTAGAGGAAGAGCCATGCTTAGAGGCCAAGCTGCAAGAAAGAACTCAAGGCAAAGGGCAGAGGACTGAGGACACTAGGGTGGGTGCTAGGCATGCTGGGAAGATGTGAATGTGAGCTGCAGGCTCCTGTGTGCCAGCTGAACAGTACACAGAGCTCAGAGTTGCTGGGGGTCAGCAGGGACAAATGGGACTGTAGTCAGGGGAAGAGCAACTCTGGCTAATCTTTCAGGCCAGGCCTTTGAGGATGGAAGGGCCAGCCTAGAAAGGCTGAGGTGAGGCTTGTCACATCTAATAGCTCCCACTTGTGAGTCAGGAACCATACTGGACATTCAGACCAAAGGGCTGTGAGTCTCTAGCTGCACTTTAGTGACAGCTCACAAGTCAGCAACCCCCAGGCCTCATCCCACCCTCTAAAGTTGGTCCTGTGGTTCCGTTCTGGAAGATTTGCTGTTGGCAGAGCTTTTCTGCCTTTGTCTGGGATGGGCTAGCAGCCACAAGAAGACGGCCTCAGAGGCATCCCATCTCTGCTGAAGGGTTGTTAAAAGGCTGCGGTCACAGGGCTGGTCTTCAAGCCTCCTTCCTCCCACTTTGGGAAGGGTCAATTCCACCCTTGGGCCAAGATTCAGTCCATCCCTGGTCAGCCCTAGGTGAGGGCAGCAGCTTACAATTCCTGGGCTAAATGCGAAGCCTGCAGGCTGGACTGTGATCTGTGGAGGGGTGTCCACCAGTTTGGGAGTGGGGGCGGCAGCGGTGGCAGCAGTGGGCTGCGGTAGAATGGCAGGCGTGGTCTGCAGCAGCGGCTGGGGCTGGGCTGGTGGCCGGGGCTGGGCCGGTGTGGAGGCCTGTACTGGCGGGGCAGCTTGTACCGGTGCCGGGAGCGTGGTATTCAGCACGGCAGCTGCTATGGAGCAAGGCAGAGATAGAGGTGCTCAAACACCTAGCCGCAGTCCAGAGCGGCTCCAATCCCAGGGGATCTGGCACAAGAATTGAGGGGGTGGGGAGCAATGGGGGGTGGGGGCAGGCAGCAGCAACTCCCTTGATCCTTGAAGGGGTGGCCCATGCCAACATCTTGCATCCCCCCTCCCTTGGGCCTGGAGATGTGTAGGTTCAAGAACCAGATATTGCTTCTTCTTGCAGCTCTTCTCAGGAGGCTGGTGGTGAGGGAGAGGGGCAGTCTCAGTTGACTGAAGGAAGAGAGGCCAACATGGCGTTCTGGCTTAGAGTCCCGAGGTGACGCTGAGGCTCTGTGGCTGTTGCCCAGGGAGGCCACAGGTTCTGAGTCCAACACGGCAAGCACACGTGCAGGGATGGTAGTGTGGGGTGCTGGGGGCCTGGTGCAGTCCTGGGGAGAGTTGCTGTTACCTTGGAGACCGGCTAAAGGTGGCTTGAAAATTCCCCCCGTAGGAGAAGCAGCGGTCAGTCCTGGGAGGGTAGCCACGGTTGCTGTAGGAATTGTCCACACGGCCAGCCCCTGCTGACCAGCCACTTGACCTGCAATACTGATGGGGATAAGAAGAGGTTGAGTAACTGCCCCTGCTGGAACCATAACTCCTGTCAGAACTGTGGCTAAGTTTTCCTGAGTCAAGACCTGCAAAAGCAAACAAGATTTCAAAAAGAAAAGAAAAATAAAAAAAAATCAACATCGACAGCGCAAAAACTGGGTCTCTCAGACCCAGCTGAGCACAAACAAAACATTCTGAGGGCAGTGGGAAAAAGGCAGCCTGAGGGAGGCATGAACTGGCCTATCCTGCCTGCAGGGCCCAGCCCTGTTCATTCAACAGGAAGGGCTGCACAGGCCTCTTCCATTAGTCGTGTTGCCTTCCAAGCCTTCCCCAGTCAGTCCTTGTCCACAGCACTAATGCTTTGTGGTCAGGGAGCAGGGGGTAGGTACATCCAAGTGGCCTCTGAGAAGCTCTCTAGGAGAACACTTGTGAGCAGATGCCTTGGAGGTTGGCATGTAGACAAAGGTCCCAAGGAACTCAGAAGGCCTGAAGGCTCTAGGAGGCTGCTTCTCACTGTGCTGGGGCTGCTCCCTGGCTCAAAATGAGGACTATGTTGTGAACAATCCATTAATTCTTTCAGGCATCCATTAGAGGGGCTGATAAGGGTATTCACTCCTTTGGTGGTAATATGCTGTGGAGTCGGTTCCGACTCATAGCGACCCTGTACAGGGTTTCAAAGGCTGTAAATCTTTACGGGAGCAGAAAGCCTCATCTTTCTCCCGTGGAACAGCTGGTAGTTTCGAATTGCTGACCTTGCGGTTCAAAGCCCAATTCGTAACCACTACACTACCAGAGCTCCTTATTCACTCCTTTAGTCATTGAAAAAACAAAAACTCCAATGTCGTGAAAGAGTTAATGGAATTTCTAAAATCACTGCAGGACCCAAGTAGATTACCTAACAAATGCAGACCCACTTTTCCAAACAGGCCTGATCTGGGGCAGGGGAGAGGCCAGGGGTGCCTAATAGAAGAGTTCCCTCCCTTGAGCCAGAGCCCCTGCCCTGTATGGACACATGATACCACCAAGCTCTCTTGGCTGCCCCATATTGACAGTCCCATGCCTCACTCCTGCCCACTGCCCTCTGCCGGACTCACAGGGTGGCCCTTACCTGGGGGACAGCTTGTACAGCCAGGGTCTGCGATGCCTGAGGCTGGCTTGGGGCTTGGCTGAAGGTGGCAACGGTGGGGGCAGGGCTTGGAGGGATCCCCGGGAGTGACTTCACTTCACATGATATTGAGAGAAAGAAGGAAAGCATGGAGTAAGCCTGATGTGAATGGAGCAAACATCTTGCCTGCAGCTTCAAGTGGTAACTCTGCCTCTTGTTATATTTCTGCATATCCCCTATCTACCGTACTTGCTGGCCTTCGCTGACCCATGAGGCAGCCTCCCAAATGCTACTGGTAGTGAGAGGTGGCCAGAGAACCCTGTGTCAGATCTGGAAGACAAGTCACCCTCTGCCCACAGCCACATGAAGAAAATGCAGGCCTCTGCACAGTTGGCTATCAGTCCCTCATTTCCTGGCACTGAGTCTGTAGGGCACTATGATCTATCACATAATCAAGTTGAGGGGCCTGAAGCGAAGGTGTGCCAGGGAGGGAAGGAACTGGAATCCTCAAGAACAGATTCCCTTGGCTCATGCAGCAACTGAGTCATCATTATGCACCTTTAGACATCTTAACCACTACCCCTTCAGGGGACTTTTTAAAGGTAGGTAGCTTCTAGCTTGGGGAAGGACAAGGATTCCTGCAGGGCAAATTCTTGGTGAATTGGACATGTCTTTGCCACACTGTAGGATCACAGGGGCCCTCCAGGCCAGCAGGCTTTTCTCTGCCATTCTTGAGATCCAACCAAGATGAGCAGTTTCTATGAGCTTCTAAAAGAACTTCAATGAATTTGAGTTTCTCTCCAAGTTATAACCTCCTCTTGCTCCCTTGGTCTGTTCAGATAATGAGGTGTGCCCACCAGGAAACCTCTTCATTGTCACACAACAATGAGAAGAAGCCTTATTATCTAATATGTGGTGAGACATTAAAAGGAGTCTAGGCATGTGGAGTTCTGGTGTGACGCTGTAGGATAAGCACTAGACCGCAAACTCAGTTTGAACTGCAAGGTCAGCGGTTTACCAGCTGCTCCTTGGAACCGGCTCAACGACAGTTAACAACAATACTAGGCCTAGCTGTGGGCTAGGTGTTGGTGGTTCAAACCCACCAGCCACTCTGGGGGAGAAAATGAGGCTGTCCACTCCCGTAGTAAAGATTTGCTGTCTCAGAACCATTATATAAGGTCACTTTGAGTCAGAACCTACTCCATGGCAGTGGATTTTGTTTTGTTTTAAAGTAATTTAGGCCTAGGAGTCCTGGTGTGGTGTTACAGGATAAGCACTAGACGGCAAAGTCGATTTGAACCACAAGGCCAGCAGTTCACAATCATTGGCTGCTTCTCAGAAACCTTATAAAGGGTTGCTGTGAGTTGGAACTTGACTTGACGGCATTTACCAACAACAATCTAGGTTTAAAGAGCTGTGGGTTAGGCTGTTAACTGCAAGGTTGTTGTTGTTAAGTGCTGTCACGTCAGCTCTGATTGTTGTTGTTAAGTGCTGTCATGTCATGTGACCCTGTGTAGGATTTCCAAAGAGCCACTGGTGAGTTTGACCTGTCAACCTTGCAGTTCAAACAGACCTTGTGGTCCAGTGCTTTATCCTACAACATCACACTACCTTATTATAAAATCTGTATCATTTAAGGAATTAAAGAGACAAACAAGGAACAGCAAAAACACATACTAGGAGAACATGAAATGGCAATTGATCTCTGTGAAGAGGAGATAACTCATCTAGGCACTGAAAACACCCCAGAATAGTACCAGAGGATAATCTGAACACATTTAAAAAACATTCTGCTTGATAAAATGTACAGAAACATAGAAAATAAGAACATGGGACTATGACAAATATAAAATGATGAAAGTTTACCATCTAAAGAAATAAAATACTTATTTTATTGGGGTATATATCCACAGTAGGACCACAGGATCCGTGGGTATGCATCTGTTTATGGCTCTTGTGGTACACTCCAGAATTGCTTTTCAGAAAGGCTGGACCTTCCATAGAACCAGCAACAATGTTCCTGTTTCTCCACAAGACCACCTCATTTAGGCTTTGTCATTTTAAGTTTATTTTTCTGGTTTACCAGGCATGTGGCATATTAAAGTCAGTTAAAGGTTCTCTCCTTGGTAGCAAGATTTTGTATTTTTTTTCATGTGATACTATCCTCTTATGTAAACAATTTCTTTTCAAAAGGAATTTGAGTATACTCCCCCTATGAATCACAAGCATCCAATCCTGTTATGCATGGGGTCAGCATGAGTTGGGGGCTGTCTTAATGGCATCTAAGAACAACACACCTCAAAGAGGGGAAAAAAAAAAATTAAAGAATCAGTACAAAGACATTCAAATTGGAATTGTTTATGACAATGAATAACTGAGAAACAACAGATTCATATTTATGAATCTATGTTAATTAAATTGAGTATATAAAATATTATAACGGTGTCATTACTTAACAGTGTACCTTCAGTGATTACAATGATAAAAATCAGAAGTGTGACGAGGACTGGATGGTAATTTAGTGACATATCATAGGGTGGCTATGAGTTGAAACCAACTCCAAGGCACTTAACAACAATATCACTACACTCTTTATTCACCAGGAAAATATTTCCTATTGTTTAGTTTTGTTTTACTCTAATAAGGGGCAACTCTCCTTAATATTGAATACCTAAAAAGGTTCCATCAGGGCATGACTGGCATCAAAGGACTCCTCTTACCTCCTTGACAATGACTAAAACTCCTTACAAAAAAGAAGTCTTTCATGGAAGGCTTAAGCAGATAAACCTCTAAAAGAAGTTGCATATGATCATAAACACTCATGTTGTAGTGTAAATAATAACTGATTTAGGACCCATTTATTAGAGCAGAATTAAGAATAAAAGGACACTGGAAACCAGATGGATAAAAATGTGGCAAGGAAAGCAGGGCATTGTAGATAAACTGGAAACATCCCAATTTTTCCTGAAAAGGGCAAAGCTGAATGGAAAAAATGTCAGAAGTGTAGAATCCTTATTTTCCCTGTCTGCTGCCCAGGACACTGCCCCTAGGGAGCAGGTGACAACCCATCTTGACTTCAACATGGAAGCAGATTTCCAGTCTAGGGGAAAATGGTCATATCTCTTGTCATTCCTTTATTGAAATGGGAGAAAACCCAGGTTACTAAGCACCCCAAATGAATCTGTAAACTGATTTGGAGATAGAGCAAGTAATGGGATGTCTTGCTGTTTTCTTGTTAAGGAGTTGCTGTTTTGTGAAGCTTGTCTGTTTTCATTTGCTCTCTTCTGCCACCCCCACCCCCCACCCCCGCCAGCCCAGTGAAAAAATGAACTATGGTAGAAAGAAGGGGAGATGAATCATGGCAGGTTCTGAGGACTCTGACCAGGGAGGCCCAAGGAAAGGCAATGGGAAGATGTCTCCTGGCCTGAGAGCAATGCTTGGTTTCACAGCCCAGCCTCCAGGGTTATCACAGTAAACAGGAGAGAAAATATGGTACAGGAGAATCAAACTCACACCCTAAGGTCATCTTCAGGGGAGGACAGCACATTATAAGTCCCCAGTGGTTCATGGAGTTCTGGTGTGGCACTGAAGGGTTAATGCACTGGACTGAAAAGTCAGTTGGAACCACAAGGTCTGCAATTCAAGCTCATCAGTTGCTCCTCAGAAACCCTATACAGCTATGGGTTGGAACCAACTCAACGGCACTTAACAACAACAATGATGCATGCCTACCCAGCTGGTAGTAGGGAGCTGGGATTCTGTAAATTCATACCTAACCTCCATCCCTTAATCTAAGGTAGGTTCTTCCATCTCCAGGTCCTGGGACCTCCAAGCTATGCTACAAAAAAGCTTGAGTTGGAAGGGCAGGTAGAATTCTGAAAGATTTAGGTCCTATCTGGATTGGGCCTGAGGACCTGGTTTACACCTAGAAGCTCTCTAGGATGGATTACATCCTCTAAGCTTACCCCTACTGTGCTCCTCCCTCCTCACTCTGACCCACCCCAGTTGAAGTGTGGTGGTGGTGGTGGTGGTGGTTATGTGCCGTGCGTGGAGTCAGTTCCGACTCATAGCGACCCTGTACAGGGTTTCCAAGGCTGTAAGTTTTTACGGGAGCAGAAAGCCTCATCTTTCTCCCGCGGAACAGCTGGTAGTTTTGAATTGCTGACCTTGCTGTTCGCAGCCTGATTCGTAACCACTATGCTACCAGAGCTCCTTAGTTGAAGTGTTGTTGTTAAGTGCCATCAAGTCAGTTCCAATCCATAACGACCCTGTATAGGGTTTCCAAGGATCGACTGGTGAGCTTGAACCACCAAACTTGTAGTTTAAATGGCTCTGCAGTCTGGCGCATTAACCCACAGTGGCACACCAGGACTCTAGTTGAAGTGTAGAGGTAGCTAAAATTTAATTTCCAGGGACAAGTGGTGCAGAATAGCTCTGGCAGCTGACCAGAAGTACAGTCTGTGGCCAAAGGCTGTCTACTGGACAAGAGGACAACAAGAACCTAAAGTTCATGCTGTCTCCCCAGGGCAACCACAGGAAGGTGACTCAGGTGGAGCAATGGCTTCGTACCAGTTGCCTCTGCAGAGGGGTCTGTGTTGTCTGGCCCCGCTTTACCAGTCGGCTTGCTGGCTTTGGCAGGGCCTCCGCTCTGGGAGCCCTCAGCAGCTACACTCTCCAGGCCTTTGCCCTCCTCCTCAGCAGGTAGCTGGTTGTCCACTCCAACTTCTAGCACTCGGATGGTCTCATGGCCTGACATCACGATAACCTGCAAGCAAAGGACAGGAGACACTGCTGGAGAGAGGCATCAGAACTCTGGGTGTGGTTGAGTAGAGAGGAGGGGGATCCTAGGGAGATGCAGACCTCATGTCTAGGGGACTGTGTGCTCTATGAGAAGTCCAGAGCCTGGGATAGTCTGACGCTCCCTGATTCCAGGGAAGTTGCTGCTAGGAAAAAGCTGGTCCTGGTGACAGGGAGAAGGGCCCAACACAAACTGGAAAAAGTGCCACAGAGTCAAACTGCTTGGGGATATTTCTGTTTACTTCCTTTCCTGGGCTCAGTTCAGGGAGTGGTAAATGACCTACTCCACACTCTAGCAAAGGTGTCCTCTAGGCTGCTAGGACCCTGGAGGATGGCCACGGGGGCTCTGACACAGTGGCTGCAGCTTAAGTGGGGTTCATAAGCAAATCCTTCTCTACTTCCCTTGAAACCATCTGGAAGTTCCCAAAGATCAAAAGAGTGGAAAATGCACTTTCCACAATGCTGATTAACTTTTTAAAGCTCTTATGTTCCTTTATTTTCAAAATTCTGTCTGGGGCAAAGGGCCCGGATTTCCCAGCAAGTCCATTTCCTGAAGGATGACTGAGCCTCTCGCTCTCCCACCTAGCAGCTCCTAAACTTTGTGTGCACTGCCCTGGGCCTGCGCAGACCTCAAAAGGCTACTTTATGTGTTAATGAGGCAGCCAGTCCTGGGGGGAGCCTCCTGAAAATGCTTGGTCTTCTTTCCCTGCTCAAAAATCTAGCACTCGGTTCATACCATCAGCACTGAAATGCTTCCAAATGGGCAATTCAAGGATCACAGACACACTCTGTACATTAAAAAGTTTTGTGTTCGGCTTCCCCTGCACTTGGCCCAGGCCTGAAGCCACTCCCCGCCACACTACTTCAGCCTGCAAATTGGATCCAGCCAGACTCTGCTGGAAAAACTGGCAATGTGACCATAACAAAATAACCCCCTAAAAGCAGTTAGGAGACTTAATCCCAGTTACGTTTTAAGAAAATGTCACCTTTTATCTCCTTTATAAAATTTTTAAGTATACATGGTCATTGTAGAAAAAGAAAATATCTATAGAAAGAAAAAAGTAAAAGAGAAAATTACCTGTTCACACCTTGCCCTATGTAAATTTATACATATTCATGCATATTAAGTTCATATTGAAATGAATGCATTTCATTTTTTAAAGCCCCACCTTAAATTCCTAAACCCAGACCCTTAGAAATCTGCTGGCAGCCACAACTGAAGGGTAGGTGAAGTTAACATGAGTCTTGGTAAGGAACAGACAATAGGGGCACTATGGAGTCATCCTCCCTTCCCTACACATCTTGGCCCACCAAGGAGGTGACATCTTCCTCATCCCCCATCCCTACCTCCCACAGCCCTAGAAGATACCTGCTCATTAACAGTCAGAGATGCATCTGGCCCGGTTCCAGGGTCCATGGTCACTGGTCAGGGTAGAGTGGGGACAAGCCCACACCTAGCACATCCTGTGGAATGGGATGGGATGGGAGAAGCATAGGCTGATGTGACAAAGTAATACAATTTCTAGACCATCTATAAAAGTCAGAAGTATTGGAATGGTTGTTGTTGTTAAGTGCCATTGAGTCAATTCTGACTTTGTAAGTTTGAACTATCAACTTTGTGGTTCACAGTCCAGTGCTGATCCTACAGCACCACACCAGGAGTTGTAGACAGTGGGAAAAGTTAGGTTCTCCCAAAAGTATCTGTAGAAAAAAAGGAGACTATATCTCCCTCTCTATAGCATCACAGGCGAGTACACAAAGGGGGGGGGGGGAGTCAGGAATATATGTACTTAGAGTGATGAGAAGACAGAGAAGACCTGGCACCTGTCCCCGAGGGCTCCCCAATCCAATGGGTGAGAGCACACTCAGCAGAAATCAAGATGAATGTGACCCCAGCCACTCAGAACCTCAGACACAGCTAAGGGGCAGTCAGGGTCTGAGCACACATTCTAGAAGATGGGAATGAATTAAAACAGTGGTCTCAAACTTGAAGTGCATACGTATCACCTGGAGGAACACTTACTAAAGATGCAGCTCTCCAGATTCTCACCATCCCCATCTACCATAAATTCTGCTTTAGCAGAATCAGTTCTCAGGTGATTCTGTGGCAGCGGCCCAAGGACCATATGAGCCTGTAACCGAGGATACCGATAGACATCCTGGGTAGTTGAGTAGCTTGCCACATGCAGTGAGGATAGGCTGTCTGGCTAGAGGCACAAACCACAGAGACATAGAAATGAAGGTAATAAAAGATAGGCTTCGACATTTATGAGACACACCTATACAGGAAAGAAGGCAACTAACATTTGCTTCCAGTGACTACTAGCTGAAAGATTGGCAGCTCAACCCCACCCAGAAGTGGCTCGGGGGATAGGTCTGGAGGCTTCTGGAGGACCCAATGGAGTAGTTCTATTGTGCCTACATGGGGTCACAATGAATTGGAATCAACTGGACAGTAAACAAAAATAACTGTATGCTAAGCATCATGTACTTACTCACGGCAGGTTTATGTGTGTGTGTATTATGGGTTGAATTGTGTTACCTTGAAAAGCATATATTGAAGTCCTAATGCCCAGAATCTCATAACGTAATCTTAACTTGGAAATAGAGTTGTTGCATGTATAATTGGTTAGGTTAAGATGAGGTCTTTCAAGTGGGCCCTAATCTCTTTATGACTGGAGTCTTTATTAGAACAGAGGAGAGCAGAGACACACACAGAATGAAAACAGTCATGTTAACAGAGAGGTAGAGATTGGCATTATACTACCACAAGCCAAAGAACACCTGGGGTCACCAGAAACTAGAAGAGCATGGCCCTGCTGACAACTTGATTTTGGATTTTGAGCCTTTGGAACTGTGAAAGAATAACTTTTTGTTGTTTTAAGTTACCCAGTTTGTGGTACTTTATCCCAGAAGCTCTTTATATTGAGGTGCAATCCATACTGTGGTCTTGATCTTCACTAGTGAGTATTTTAAGTCCTCTTCACTTCCAGCAAGCACGGTTGTATCATCTGCATATCATAGATTGTTAATGAGTCTTCCTCCAATCCTGCTGTCACAATATTCTTCAAATAATCCATCTTCTCGGATTATTTACTCAGCATACAGATTGAATCAGTATGGTAAAAGGATACAACCCTGGCACAAAGCTTTTCTGATTTTAAACCACTCAATGTACCCTTGTTCTGTTTGAACGATTCCCTCTTGGTCTATGTATAGGTTCCCCCTGAGCACAATATTATCCAGTTTGTCATGATCCTCACAATGAAAGAAGTCTGGTGTCGTGTTGTGGGTTAATGCGCCAGACTGCAAAGCCGTTTGAACTTCAAAGTTGGCAGTTCAAGCTTACCAGCTGTTCCTCAGAAACCCTATACAGGTTTGCTATGGGTTGGAATCGACTGGACGTCACTTAACAGCAACAAATAACACAATGGAAAACCTTTGCATAGTAAATTTCATTTTGGTATTTTCTGCTTTCAGCCAAGATTTCATGTCCTGTTCTGAATTTGGCTTGAATTTCTGGCAGCTCCCTGTCGATGTACTGCTACAACTGTTTTTGAATTATCTTGAGCAAAATTTTACTTCCATGTGATATTAAGGATGTTGTTTGACAATTTTGTCATTCTGTTGGGTCATCTTTCTTTGGAGTGGGCACAAATATGAATCTCTTCCAATTGATTGGCCAAGTAGCTATCGTCCAAATTTCTCGGCATAGGTAAGTGAGCACCTGCAGTGCTGTATGAGTTTATTGAAACATTTCCATTTGTATTCCATCATTCCTGAAGTCTTGTTTTTTTTTTTTCGTTGTTTTCGTTGCCTTTTGGCTTTTTTCGGCCGTTTTCTTGTTCGTTTTTTGTTCTTCGGTTCCTTTTTGAATTGTTTCACCCTGGCCCTTTTTTTTTTTTTAATACAGTGATTCTGTGTATTCCTTCTGTCTTTTTTTTATTTTAATGTTTTATTGTGAATTATTTGATAGTTTACATGAGAGAACTTTAGTTTTACATTCATTCCATTGTATATCATTTCATTGCCATGGTTCCAATCCCCTCCATGCATCATCAACCGACCAAAGGGTATACCCTACAAACCCACCCCCTACACTCCTCCCTCCCCTCCCAGTCTTCAGCACACAGTCCCTCTCCCTCTGTGGATCCAAAGTCCCCAGCTGCTTCATCACTCCACGTCATTATCTCTGTCTCTATCTCAGGCATCTCTACTTCTCTGGGTAGGGTCCCGCTCTAGGCTCTTCTCTGTTGATGGTCCTAGAGACCTCCGCTCCTAGACTGGAAAATTAATCGCTCCCTTCCTTGCTACAAAACGTCTACCTTTGCATTTACAACCCTCATAATCAGTCCTGATAACAATTATTTACTAAAGTATCACAAGTGACCCATCTGTATTTCATTTCATTAGCTCCGCCTAGACAGATTGGATAGTACTCACTGGAGATTCTGCCTTCCTCCATGCCCCCTAGCTCTAGGTTCCCTCTTGAAAGCCAGTCACTTCTTGCCTTTGTAGTTCCGCAGTCCCTCCCCTTCCCCCCTCCCCATTTGGGTATCCAATGTCCAAGTTGCCCATTTCTGTCTACTCTGTGTGTGGAGGGGGTGGGAATGTTTCTTGCTGTAAGGATTTGTTCCTTCTTTTGAGTCACTGCATCCGTAGGTGTAGGTCAAGTTCATCAAATTGTATCAGATCACTCTTTTTTTCCTCTTCTTTCTTCTCCTAGTTGAGCTCTGATCATCCAGTCATCCGGTCCAGGTCACATAGGCACCATCTGCAAGTGTGGGCGTTCTTGTGCACATGCCCTCTCTTCCCATCAGCCGGTAGCTCCACTCTCCGCTCTAGTCCTCTGTGGCCACGCCACTGACTCTGGGCCCAAGAGTCCCCAGGTCTCCTTACACTGCTTGCCAACCAGGTCCCCATCTGGGTCCACAAAAGCCCACCGAACATTGTAGGGCTTAGCTTGCCGCTTCATTGCTGCTTTTACCCCACTTCCCCCTATCAGTGATGCATGTGGTCACCAATCAGAGCGTGTATTTCCATTGAGTCTTAGTCTTGGAAGGGGGTTTGCATTGAGGGGACCAGACCACTTGCCTTGATGTTTCCTGGGGAAGCAACTTGTTTGTTCTTGTAGTAACAGTCCATCTGCCTCTATTGTTTTGTATTTTTCCTGTAGGTCTTTCTTTCAAGAAGTATCTTTTGTTCTTCTAGCCGCTCCAGGCTGGTCTGCTCGTCCTTTCAAGTGGAAATTTCTCATCTCTGGAGATCTGGATGTGGTTCAGGTTTCTACCTATAGTTTTATGTATTGCAAAGGCTGCAGGAAGCCTCGTTCACTGGGTAGCCCCATTTTAGGTATTCCAATCAGTTATAGGCAGACGACCCCTTCCATCTTCTTTTGATGCTTTCTACATCATTCAATATTTTGCCCACAGAATTTCTCCAATATTGCAAGTCAAGGCTTGAAATTTTTTTCTTCAGTCTTTCAGCTTGAGCAATGCTGAGTGTGTTCTTCTCTTTTGATTTTCTAACTCTAGATCTTTGCACATTTCATTAAAATACTTGACTTCATCTTCTCAAATGGCCCTTTGAAATTTTCTGTTTACCTCTTTTGCTTCCACTTTTCTCCCATTTGTTTTAGGTTCTCTATTGTGGCGCTGTGGGCTAATGTGTCAGATGGTAAAGTCGTATGAACTGCAAGGTTGTGGTTCAAGCTCACCAGCTGCTCCTTGGAAACCATATATAGGGTTGCTATGGGTCAGAATTGACTCGATAGCAAGTTTCAGCGTCTCTTCTGACACTCATTTTGGTCTTTTCTTTTTTTCCTATCTTTTAAATTTCCTTTCGCTTTCTTCCTGCAAAATGCTTTTTTAAAAATGTTTTATTGTGAATTAAGTGAAGATTTACAAAGCAGATCATCAGTTTCACATTCAAAATAATCACATACTTCTCTTGTAACCATGGCAATGAAATGATATACAATAGGATGAATGTAAAGCAAATGTTCTCCCATGTAAACTATCACATAATTCACAATAAAACATTTTTAAAAATCGCATACTTCATTTTGTTACAATGATTGCAATCCCCTCCATGTACCATCAGTTAGTAGTATTTATTACCATCCACTTAATTTTTTTAACATTTACCTCTATTCACTTTATTGTTTTTCCATCCCCTGCTTTCCATACTGTAAACATCATAGAATGTATTATTTAGCAAGAAAATCTTGCCTTAGCTTTTTACAACAGTGGTTTAATGCAATATTTGTTCTTTTGTGATTGACTGATTTCACTCAGCATAATGTCCTCTAGGTTTATCCATTTTGTGAGGTGTTGTACAGATTCTTTGTTATTTATTCTTCAACATTGCATAATATTCCATTGTGTGTATGTACTAACATTTTAAAATCAGTTTTGT